GGTGGTGAACATGTCAATTGACAATATGACGCACCAACTGCGTGAGAAATTGGCCCTTCAAGAGTCTCATGACTTCCGACAGCTGATGTCCAAAGTTGTGAAGGCCGAACAACTCGTAAAAGAAGCTCAAACAACCCAAAATAAAAAGTTTACGGAGTGGAAACCACTGCATCTATGCCCAGGAAGGTGTTGCCGAAGCCGAGGAGGAACAAGAAGAAAACTTCATGGCCAAGATTTCCTAAGGGAAGGCATACACCTGCCCTGCTCTTAAGCCGCCTCGATGGAGCTGAACCAAAAGGTGTCTTACTTTTTTGACATTGCGAAAATAGAGCAGATTTTCGTGTACTTACTTAAGGATAACCAGCTCCGCCTTAAGGAGGGCCATAAAATACCGACCAAAGAGAATTTGAACGGAAAATCATTTTTTAAATGGCATAAAGTATATGACCATCAGATCGGTAATTGCACTGCCTTCAGGAATGCGGTCCAGAAGACCATCAAAGAAGGCCGCCTCAAGCTCGGCGAGAAGCCCGATATGAAGGTTGATACAAAGACGTTTTCTGCACCAATAAATTTTATCGGAATGGATCCAAAAACATCCAAGAGTTCGATTTTAGGGGCTGGGGTCGACGACAAGAAAATAGACCCTCGAAAACTAGTGTTCAAAAGGCTCGGAAGGTCGATCAAGCCGCCGAGAAAGAGTTCGGTGTTGGATCTTTTATGCTATTTATTAAACAAGCCGGTCCTTCAAGTCCATTTAGTTAAATGGGCGTTGAAATTAGTATCGTTCGCATTGACATAATAGCCCCTTAAGTCCTTAAAAGGGCAAATCATTGCAGATTATTTGGCTGAACATCCCAAGAGGGTTTAGGCCACCGCCTTGGAGTATGTAGGGTTGGAACCTTGGTTGGTTACTTTCGATGAGTCCAGTACTTCTGGAGCAACCAGAGCAGGCATGATAATCTCCACTCTAGAAGAAGAAGTATGGCGTTTCGCCCACCAGCTTCCACAGGGTGTCACGAATAAAGAAGCCGAGTATGAGGCGTTGCTATTAGCATTGCGATTTTTGGTCGCAAAAAATGTTAAGAAAGTCGTTATTCAAGGGGATTCTTAGTTGGTTATTTGCTAGGCTCTTAAAGAGTTCAAGTGCAAGGAACCACGGCTTCAAGATCTCCTTTGAGAACCCTACAACCTTCTTCAGCAGCTCACGGAGGTTATTTTGGATGATATACCTTGGAAAGAGAATTTAGAGGGAAACAACTTAGCGCAGTGGGCTTCTGGATTTAAAAGAATAGAAATACTGCAAGGATGTGACTGTTAGCAAACTGATCGAAACCCGTACTGGCGCACTCCGCTACTGAAAGGTCTAACATAACCTGGGAAGGTAGCCTCAAAAGCAGTGGGTCATCAGTTCCTAAAATACACCTCGATTGACAGAGAGCTGTATTACTAGAGATTCGATGGAACATTGGCACGCTGCATGGGTCACGAAGATGCTAAAAGGTCATGGCCAAGGTCCATGAAGGCGTCGGAGGTGTCCGTAGGGTAGGACTTGCTATGAAGTGGAAAATCCTCTTACACGGTTATTTTTTTTACACAAATTTCATAGGATTGCATGGATTATGCTCGGGGATTTTCAACATGTCAGCGCAATGGTCCACTCCAATGGATCCCTGTGGAAGAACTTCATTCAATCATCAAACCTTGGCCTTTTATGGATGGGCGATTGACATCATCGAAGAAATCCATCCTCTATCTTCCAAGGGGCATTCCTTCATCTTTGTAGCTACCGACTACTTCAGGAAATGGGCGGAGGTTGTCCCATTAGCTAAGGTACAACATAATAATGTCATACATTTTATCAAGAATAACATTATTCACAGGTTTGACATTCTCAAGACAATAACCACCAACCAAGTGACCGAGTTTATGAGCACAATGGTCAAAGCCTTCACAGTCCAATATGGGATCCAACAACTACATTCCTCTCTATATTATCCTCAGGCTAACGAGCAAGCCAAGGTGACGAAAAGAATCTTGATTTCCATTATCAAGAGGGCGCTGGAGGACAATCCGATGGGCTAGCATTACACTTTGGAAGAGACTTTATGGGCATATCGGAACGCCAAATTCTCTGTGACCATGAGTACAACTTACAAGATGACCTATGGCGAGGATGTTGTGTTGCGGCTAGAGATTACAGTGGTTTCTCTCCGAATCTTGAAGATAAATGAGTTGTTGATGGAAGAGGCCCTGCTCCAAGAGCTTAATGCCCTGCCCAAAAAGAGGCTGTAGGCCCTCGAGTACATTCGACATTAAAAGAGAAAAACCGAATCGATCTTCCGGAAGTACGTAAGGACCTAGATTTTCCAGGAAAATGACATGGTGTGAAAGACCATCCTCCCGAAAGGTCCCAAAGACGTAAAGTTCGGCAAGTAGTCCCCCACTTGAGAATAACTTTTTATCAAATCGGCTAAGTCATCTAATGACGCGTATAGATTGATGGAGCTCGAAGAAAAAGAATTGATGACATTCATCAACGGGAGACATTTGAAAAGGTTTTATCATTCCCTATGGGAGCTTGAAGGCAGACATGATCAACATATTGTTGAACATGATCTTGTGAAAGGCGAGACAACGGTTGGAATGGCCGAGTAAGTGTGGAAGGAAGATCATGATGTTGGATAGCGAAGCATCAAACATAAAGGATAGTGTTTGTAAAGGAGTCATCAAAGCATGGAAATATCAGGTATTTAACAAAATCGTCAGGATCACAATTAATTTTTGTCCAAATAATTTTGTTGGAGGCATTTGTACACGCCCAAATAATAAATTGGGGCCAACCTAGTACGGGCGCAGCCTAAAGTGGATGACTTTCGACCCAAGGATACCTACGGCCCAACATTTGGTTGGCCCTAGCTGGCCCAGATCAGCGAACGGACCTTCCGACTCACTTGGTCCCATTGTCCAAGAAGACCCAGTTGGATGTGAAGGCAGCCCAATAGAAATGGAAGTGTCTAGTCAGAGAAAATGATTGGAAGAAAGAAGAGTGAAATTGTTTGAAAAAAAAAATAGGTATAAAATTTTATCCAAAACAAGATTGAGGATAGAAAAGCGGATTAAGGAAGATCAGATAGATTCCAAACACATTTTTTTCATCTTCTTCTTCGTAATAATTTTCTGCAATTTATTTATGTAATTTCTTTCAAGAACACATCATTTTATCATCTTTCTTCCTCTCTTTTCCTAAATAATTTTTCTTTAATCTTTTTCTGTATTTTTTCCTTCAAAAACACTTTTTTTTTTTTTCAAAATTTTACAGTTTCTTTAATTCTAGCTTTTCCAATTTTCAGCTTCATTTTTGGTTTACTAGCCTTATTTTTGTCATCTATTTACATTAATTATTCGGATATCATGAGATAGCCCAAATCATTTTTTTTAGAAGACCGGGGAACTTTACGAACTAATCAATTTCAACAAGTTTTTTCGATTAAGCCATCGTTAGCGATTTTTTACTACACCTCTATTACTACATTTTTTTTTTTATTATATTTGTTGCATTTATTTAAATTTATACTCCCTTCATCCAAGAAAATATTATTTATTTGTTCTTGATACAGTTATTTAAGTAATATATTTTTATTATATTTGTTGCATTTATTTAAATTTTTACTCCCTTCATCCAAGAAAATATTATTTATTTGTTCTTGACACAGTTATTTAAGTAGTAAAAATTTATAAGATAATAATAGTAACTTATGATATTATTTTATAATTTTTTTAGTATTTTTAAAATATGAATTAATATATATTTAAAAAATTTAGAATATGTATTCAAATATTTTTAACATTATATTTGAATAAAATTTATATAATATAAATGTCATTTTGTAGAGAATATAATTTAATGTCATACAAATAAATAAATAAAAAATCTATTTGTTTATAATTAATGTAAACCAATGGAGTTTCAAATGAAGATAATAATATTGTTTATTGAAAAGAGCTATAAATAAATATATTTTAAATGAGTTTTACCTATAAAATATTATAAATTTAATTAAATTGATTTATATTTATTAAATATATTTAAGATTAATAAACGGTCATCTGTCAAGACTGAAAGGAAAAAATGAATAATGAACAAAGGATTATAATAATTTTATACATATACAATTTTTTTTATATTTTTATTAAAATTATTAGTTATATAAACATCCTTGTAATTAATACTTATTATAATTTGAATTTATATTCACTTGAAAATAAAAATATATAAAGCACAATTTTCTTTTCCAATATAGAAGGAAAAAAAGAGAGTTGAAATCATTATTTTGTTGTTCATAATTTTGTTTTTTTAACTTTAAACAATTGATGCATTAAATTACATATTTGAAATCCATAATATTATGGTTACGAGTTCAACTTACACTATCGGGTCATCGTTTACGTGATACACTTTTATAATTCTTGTGTGATAAGCATATATATATATATGCATTCTGTACGGTCTTAAGGCTTTTTCCTAGAAAAAAACAAACAAAAAAAAAACAAATGCTATATATTTGGTTTTGTTCACATATTATCATAATTTGTTTCAAAATTATCAAATTATAAAACTTATTTTATATTAAATATATTATTTTTAATTTTTCGTTAAAATATTGTAACAAATATTATTATATTATTCAGAAATTTGAAACTCAAACTTAAATGGTCGAGGTGAGATGGTTATAAGCAACAAACTATTGTTGCATGTAAATTTGTGCTCTACTGAACATGTAACAGTTTCACAGTAATATGAGAAGGCCTTTGAATGCCACGTGTCCTAGCTATTAACGCCTGTAGTGAAGTCATTCAATTTCATCATCATCGTCGTCATCATTTGTTTTTTTCTTCTTCTTCTTCTCCGACTGGTCCTTAAAATTAAGAACCACCACTTCCAACCTACCCACCCTGTACGTCTAACCTAAGCTAAGTGAGCTCACTGTACAATCATCATGCATCTCCTCCACCACCACCACCGCCACCGCCATTCTCCATTCCCAGACCACAAGAAAATGAGCACAAAAAGAAGCCACTCTTGTGTAATTTCATGCAAGATTCTCCCACCTCGACCTCAACCTCCTAACCTGCTACTGCAAAAACAGTCGACGTCATCATCTCCTCCCTTCTCATTATTAACTCCATTTTCCCCTCCCCATTTGAATCCCCTTCAGAGAATTGCAGCCGCAGCCCTCGACTTACTCGAAACCTTCATTCTCATCAAACTGGAAAGGAATCAAATAACCGTAAGCCCCACGATCGATCCAGCGGTTCAGCTCGCCGGAAACTTCGCGCCGGTCCAGGAATGCCCGGTCCGCCACGATCTCCAAGTTGTGGGAACCATTCCCAAGACTCTCCAAGGCGTGTACCTCAGGAACGGCGGAAACCCCTTTCTCCCACCCACCGGCGGGCATCACTTGTTCGACGGGGACAGCATGATCCATGCTCTCACTCTCAACCCCACGAACCGGGCGACCTACGCTTGCCGGTTCACTCGAACGAACCGGCTGATTGCTGAGGCCGGTTTGGGGAGGAACATTTTCCTCAAGCCCATCGGCGAGCTACGTGGCCATTTAGGGTTGGCTCGGCTGGCCCTCTTCGGCGCACGTGCTATGGTTGGGCTTGTGGACGAGTCGAACGGCGTCGGCTTGGCTAACGCCGGCTTGGTATACTTTAACGGTCGGATTCTCGCAATGTCCGAAGAAGACCTTCCCTACATAGTCCGTGTTGGCGAAGATGGTGATCTTGAGACGATCCAACGGTACGATTTCGACGGACAGATCAATGATAAATCCCTAATTGCACATCCCAAGGTGGATCCCGAAACTGGGGATTTCTACACTCTGAGCTACAATGTTCTTACAAAGCCATATCTTAAATTCTTCAAATTCAGCAAATGGGGGGAGAAGGCACGTGAGATAGAGATTTCCCTCCCGCATCCCACAATGGTTCACGACTTTGCCATCTCAGAAAGTCACGTGATCATCCCGGATCATCAAATTGTATTCAAGCTATCGGAGATGCTACGCGGCGGGCCGCCATTGATGTACGAGCCAAGCAAAGTTGCAAGATTTGGTGTCCTCCCCAAAAATGCAGCTGATGAATCGATGATGCAATGGATACAAGTGCCCGGTTGCTTTTGCTTTCATATGTACAATGCGTGGGAAGAGTACAACAAGCAAGGCCACAAGATCATCGTGGTGATCTCGTCGCGCATGACACCTCCCGATTCCATCTTTTCGGATGGCTCCGATGAACCTCTGAAAACTGAATTGTGTGAGATTAGGTTAAACTTAGCAACAAATGAGTCGGCACATAGGGTTATTGTGGGCGGAATGAATCTGGAAGGAGGACAAGTAGAGAAACGGGTAGTTGGGAAGAAAGCTCGATATGTGTACTTGGCAATAGCTGATCCGTGGCCTAAGTGTAGTGGAATTGCTAGGGTCGATTTGAGCAGCGGTGAGGTGACAAAATATTTATATGGGGAGGGAAAGTATGGGGGAGAGCCGTGCGTTGCGGGGGGAGACGGAGATGGAGATGGAGATGAAGGGTATGTTATGAGTTTTGTGAGGGATGAAGAGATGGAAACATCAGAGTTTGTGATTGTCAAGGCTTCCACAATGGAACAAGTTGCTCTCATTAAGCTGCCTGCAAGAGTTCCCTATGGCTTCCATGGCACATTTATTACTTCTCAAGAATTAAGTAAACAAGCATTTGCTTGATTCTGGTATCTACCCCTCATCTCTCTCTCTCTCTCTCTCATCATTCAAACTAGCTATTCATTCATGTCTCAACTCTCATCAACTTTCTCTATTATTATTATTATTGGTTGTTAAAGAACTTTGCTATTAAAAAGTGGTGAAGTGGTGGTAGATTTAAACTGAAGAATAGTGTTAGATTTAAACTCCCAAATGTGAGATATGATCAAATCTGAGTTCACAAATCCAAAATTAGATTTAAAATCGAATATGAACTTCAGGAATTTGAAGCAAATTCGGTCGCCACCAATCATCTTTCAAAATAGAACAAATTGAACGGAATTACAGATTCTGCGAATCTGAGAAGAAAATAAAATTTTTTGGAGCATATTTGATTGTAGAGATAAAAAAGAAAAATGTTGAGGCTTTTCCTTGTGTGTCTCCTTTTGAAAACTAAATGGAATATATATATTTAAAAAAAAAAATGGCCGAGGGTTTTGTTTCTTTAATCTATTGAGAAAGTCTCTCCCACCTATTTTCCACAGAGTACAGTTAAATGTAACATTGACAAAAGAATTTTTTTTCATCATTGGGCTGAGTCCACGTAGTCCAAACATTTAAGCCCAAGCTATGCAAGGATCATTTATTGTGAGTGGGATACTTGCTATTTGTATTCTTCCACTTTTAAAATACACACCAACAAGAGGATAAAAAACTAATTGAAGTATATATATATATATATATATATATTTTGCAAGATAAGAAACAACATTTATGTGGAAAATTCAAAATAGAAAAATCACAAGAGAAAAATTTATGTGGAGTTTCCACGTGCTATTTTTAATACACTGTGTCGAATCGAAACTGCAAAGGAGTTGGGTTTCGATTTTTGCTTACAGTTTGTATGGTATCTTAGTTTTTCGACCACTGTTTTTCTGTTTGCTTTATTTTCCTTACATGTGGGATATTTTTTTGTTGTGCAATGGGTCGAGGGCCGGTTTCATGTGTTTAGCCTTAGCCGTGGGTTGGGTTGGGTTTATTTGTGTCGATTTTATGGAAATTGAAAAAAATGATCTAGTAATTTTCAAAATTTTTATTATATATACTATTTATATTTAATTAATTACACAGTCTCTAAAATTCCAAAATTTTATTATATATATTATTTTTTTAATTAAGAAAACTGTTTCAAAATTTTTGAAGTTTTTATTATATATTCTCCACATCTTCCTCCTTCCCCCTTCCCCTTCTTCTTCTTCATCTCAGGTGGCGGCGGCGACGGCGAGCGGCAGCCCTCCCCTTCTTTCTTCTTCTTCTCCGGCAGCGACAAGAGGCTCCTACTCATTCGATTCCTTCTCTGGCGTCAGCGGCAATAGCAATGGCAGTGACGACGGCAATCTCTCCTCTTTATTATATATTTATTTTTTTCAAAATAATAATAATAATAATAATAATTTCTTGATGTTATTTAAAATGTATTATTACATGCAGGCGGGTGAGCTTACTTAGTCTCTAAATTTCTGAGGCGACCACGCCTCTCTAACACACCAATCCTAAATGGCTTCATAAATTCAGAAGTTTTTGTGTTTTTCGAGGGATTGAATTTTTTTTCAACTGTTCATCCAATTTTTTTTCCTCAAAAATATCAAATCAAACACTTATTTTTTATTTTTTTATATTATATTAAAAATTAATTTTACATTCAAAACATCACATCAATACCTATTTATATCACATCATACAACTATTCAAATTCAAAATTTTTGCTATTCAAATCTCAACTCAAAATCCAAACCTCCAAACAAACACATAATTTTGGAAAGTCCGAATCAATACAAATGATAACGAGTTTTTCTGTACGGATATAATTTCAAGACAAAATTCACAGTCAAAATTAATTTGTCTCAGAATCCTTTTAAATATCAAGGAAATTTTTTCCAGACATTTTACATAAATTTTGATAATTAATGTTTAATTGAGTTTGAAAAAAATTCATTTGTTTTTTATAATAAAATAATATTTGATAATATGTTTTGTGAGAATAAAAAATTTATATATTTTAAAAAATACATAGTCTAAATGATAAAATTTTTAAAATAAAAAATTGACAAAAAAACGCACCCTTGTTACTCTATCACCACCGCTACCATTAATACTATAGCAGTTGGATTGATTATTTTTTTCATATTTTTTCCGATCACTAATTTTTATTTTTTTTTCAAACATTAGTTGAATCGAACTTAAAAAAAAAATCAAAATAACTGCACATCAATAAATGATAGATCACAATTTTATACTGCATACTCTCCGTTTCAATATAATTAATCCAAGACAATAATATTTAATTAGTTAATAATAATAAATTATGATATTATTTTATTATTTATTTATATAATTAATAATATTGATAATTTTAAAATAAATTTAATATATATGACTACAAAAATAAAATATGTATTTAAATATTTTAAATATTATATCGCAAAAAAAATATATACAATATGAATATCATAGTGTAGACAATAAAATTTTTTATAATAAAAGTAAATGAAAAATACTTTTATTTATTTATAATTAATATAAATAAATTTTATAAAAAAATGTGAAATTTTAAATATAGATAAAAATATTTATTATTTTTAAAAACAAGATAGAAATATAGAAATTTTTAGTGGATCCTAAGTGATGTATGTATTATGTTACATGTTACGTAGTTAATTAAGTTGATCTATATTTTTTTAATTATATTTTAATTTAATAAATTTAACCTAAAATAAAAATATAGAAATATATCAATTGTTATAGAAAAAAAAATATCATTTGTTATAGAACGGAGAAAACTGGACCAGCCCATGCCCTAAGATTTGGGGCCATTTCAAAAGAATAATATTAATATTATATATATATATATTTATAATACTAAAGTTAATAGTAGAATATTTTTAACACTTTACAAATAAATAAATAAAATAAATATTTGTAAAACAAATTTCTAATTATTTATTTTAAAATAATTTAAGAAAACTATTCCTCCATTTGTCCAAAATCAATGTATTCTTTTGGGCTTATTTTAATAATAAATTAACAAATAATATTTTTGTTGATGCAGATTTTAAATAAAATCCGAAAATAGAAATTATCTTTGAATTTGATAAAATAAATGCTTGAGATTATGAATCCCAGACACGATATGATACATAAAAGAAAATTGAAAAGAAATACTACATACTGTAAAAAGTAAAAGGATGACCCCCAAAAAAATTTTACTGAATTTGATGTCGATTGAAGATGCCGCTTTCAGATCGTGAAAAGACCTATTTAAAAACTCATGTCAACCACCCCAATGTTGTTATCAGATCGTGCCTTCATATCCGATTGCCAGTTGTAACTTCTTCCAACCGCCTTGGAACTGTTTTTCATCCGACCTGCACATCTACTACTTCGTCTCCCTTTGCCCGCTTCCATTTGTCCGACCTCCGCATCGGCCGGCCCATCTTTCTTCGTCCGACCTCTCCTTGTCCGACCTCTATATCCACCAATCACCTAGTCACAGGTTCTCCCGAAAAAGCTCATTTCTTAATAACGTCTTGACCATTGAGCCTATACCCAAACCCATAGTCTAATTTATAAGATCATTCTCAAAAAATCCTACACATTGGTTTTCCTTACTCAAGAATTTTATTTGTTAATAAAAATAGGTAGAATTGGATTTAAATCCCTATTTGCCAAAAGTTATTTACATTCAGTCCCTATTTGATAAAACTTGGGTTGTACTCCCTCCTTTTTCATATTATTTATTTTTTCCTCCCTTTTCATCCTCCTTCCCCACCCAACGACAAAGAAACCACTGTAATTATTTTTCGATCACAAAATCCACGAAGAAACACCGGCAACTACAAAATTGAACCCGCCGTGCTGGTCGCTCACACTCTTTTGATCTTCATCACTTATTCATTCGCCGGTTGTCGATCTCGAACACCCATTGCTCCGCGCTCAAATCGACAAACCTCAATTTTTTTTTAGGTTAGTAACTATATATCGATTAGAGGTAAAATCAGGGTATTTTTTGGAAAATTATAATGCCCTGCTCGATGATGCTTACTCACATTTAACAAACTTTCAAACATATCCATTTGTAAATATATTCAAAATCTATTTGTGAATATTTGGTTTTTCAAGCGATTGTTCTGCTGAGAAGATGTTCGACGAAATGCCTGAACGAGATATAATAACACGGAACGCTATGATCTTCGGGCTTGCAACAAATGTTGCAGGAAAAAGAGGATGTCAATTTGTTTTCAAGGATGGAGGACTCGGGAATTCATCTCGATCAGGTGACGTTTACTTTTTCTCTCGTGGCATGTGTTTATTTGGATATGACGATTAAATGATTGGATTTGGTGAGGACTTTGCGAAATGTGTATGGCGTCGTGCCCAGGATCGAGCATTTTGGATGCATTGTCAATTTTTTTAAGTCGGGTGGGGCTTGTCGGATAGGGAAAAAAATTGATTCAAATGATGCCATTGAGGTCGGAGAAGGCGGCGAGTTGGAGGGCATTGATGAGCGGGTGTTGTGGCGACATGGAGGTGGTGGCGGAGCGGGTGTTGTGACATTGGAACGGAATAATGTGATGTATGTGTTATCTTCCTAATGTTTATGCAGCGGTGGGGAGACACGGCTAGGCGCAGAGGGATTGAAAGGCGATGAGTTGGCAGAATGTTGAGAAGACATCGAGATGTAGCTCGACAGAGTTATCCATGATATTTTTTCAAAGGAGAAGACATATTGTAATATGAATCGAAAAAATGATGCTATGACTCGCAGCAAATAAAATAGTCACGAAAATGTGGACGTTGTGGTCGTCTCGGGCACGACAAAAGAAATTGTAAAGCTGCGGTACCGTAGGCCTTTTGAAGTGTAATTTTTGTTTTTGTTCTAAATGTCCTTTTTGGTGTGTAATTACATTTGACATAATTGATAAAAATGTAATGTGGAAGGTAAATATACAATAGCAAGAATATAA